AAAATAAAGTATCGGGTAGGTTTAGGGTAGGTGTAGGGAGGGCTTTATTGTACCAATAAGGTGGCATCCATTTAATAATTAAAATTAAAATTATAATTTACACTCAATACGTTATTATTGCATACTGTTTTATAATGTACTACAATACTGAAGTGCAGATAATTGCCACTATTTGCAACAAGTAGTATACTTGATAGTAGAAATCCTGCTATTTTAACATAGTGTAAATAGGTATTTGCACTTAGTGTAAATAGCATATTGCTAAAAATACTGCTATTTTCACTTAGTGTAAATAGAATCCATTGCTAATACGAGATTTGAAAAGGGAGGGAAAAAAAGTTCGGCAAAAGGCAGAATCGAACCCCTGGTCGATCACATCAAAACACCACCAATACGCACTTATCCATCTGCACCACTGGAGCTGATGATATACAGCCACTTTTAACTAAATGTAAATAGACACCCCGTATTTTTTATTCCAGAGTAAGGGCAATTCATACAATACATTTAAACTGAGCTACTTTAATACCATCTCCGAACTTTCTACCACGACTCTGCTGTTCTTCGGCTGGTTCTTCCCTGTATACGTTGATTGACAGATGTCTCGTCCAGTCAGCGGTGAGTAATCCCAAACCAATGGCGCTGTCTCAAACTATACCTACCTCTTCCGGTTTGTCTGATTTGTCGTTGTGTGTTCTGACTTGTTATTTTGTTTTCGAATTTGTCATTGTGTTTTCTGACTTGTTATAATGTTTTCTGAATTGTTGTTGTGCTTTCTGAATTGTTGTTTTGTTTTTTAGACATGCATTTGCGTTTGTAATTTGTTATTTTGTTTTCAGAATTGTGATTTGCTTTGCACTTCTCGGCCACCGTACATTACATTGATTGGAGCATAAGAAACAAATAGAGAAAAAACATTTTTGAAAAAATATATTTTATTCATATTTTATTCAATGTCCTTTGTAGAGGACGCCAGTTTTGAAGTTATTTTAAAAAATAAACATGAAAAGGCATGGATAGGCAAAAACAATGTTTTATTTTTTTTAATTAATTTTTTTTAGGTTTTTAGGTCTCAGGCTATTTTTAACCAAAACGTTGTACAAAGATGATTCTCAACTATGTTATTAAAGATATAACAGAATGATTTTATATTTTACTTTATGCAATATGTCCATAAAATGTCCATAAATTGGTATTCCCATTTTATTCAAATATCAATACATTGAATCTAATTAGCATATTAATGTGTTCTTGGGGCAAACCATAATGAAAAAAGAAGTTATATAATAACTTGGCAACATTTTCATAAGACTATCATAGGAATATTGATCTATAATTCTTTGATTTGTTGTGTTTCCCCAAAATGCCTGATTAACATGCCTTTTGTCCTGGGGCAAGTTCAAGCTCAAACTGGTGTGCGCCGTTTTGCTACGGTTTCCGTTTTGAACAACATGTTTCCTGGAAACGGTGTGCAACAGGGTTTGAGATGCGTTTTCTCTTGGTTGGTGGGTGTGTCAAACATGTCAGCCCAATCAGCAGCAACATGTATATAAACCAGGCGTTTATTAAAGAGACAGCTCGCACAATGTAATTAACATCCAAATAAATTCACAAGAGCAAGTATATTGTTTGCACATGTTTATTTACATTAAAGGCAAAATAACTGAAATAATAAGGGCACAAGTATAGATCTGGAACTTCTTTAAGTCTGTCTAAATATCATTTAGTAATTGCAATGTCTTCTGGTCCATATCCTTTCCTTAGGAAGGTGTGCTAAATACTGATTAATGTAACATAAAAATACTATACATATTTATATATTTTTCTACTGTATTATGGAGTGTCACTTTCATAAACTTTTCTATACTGCTCTGATTATATAATGGTAAATATTACAATATCATAGCACAACAACAGTGATCAGCAATAATGATAAGCCTAATACTCAC